TTTTATTAGCAAATCAAAAGGGTCAGTTACTTCTGGGACACCCTGTATAATTTCCAACGCAAGTGGCAGCAAAATGAGGATGATAGACACTGACAAAAGTAGACTGGGATTGCTACTGTCACGTTGATTGATTTTATTAACCTACTAATGCCAGGCTCTCACCAGTATTTATTATTATCTAATTGAGTACCACAGTCATCTGTCGGATTATAATTGCTGAGGACCGTCCGTTTGACTCTGGCAGTTGACGCCTTCTCTTCTGTATTTGAAATCGCGCACAGTCCACAGGCAACAATAAGGCGCTAGTTAAAGAAAGCAAAGGACCCACTGTCATGACAAAAGACAGCTGGGGAATTTTATTGGATCCGGTGCAGTTGGGGACAAAGCAACTGCATCAGCGAAACTGAAAAACTTTTGCGGATGTGAATTTGCGAGCATGTGCCGATAGCGCGGAGAAATGACATTACTTTTGAAGACGAGACTCATTTGGCAAGCCCCGACTACACAACGCCTGCTACGGCTATCAGGCCTCTGTCGAGACCCCAGGCAGAATGGGACAGATGATTTCCGTTAGCGGTCGGGTGAATGTTCATCAATAACTGTTAATATCTCTCGACCTAACCCGACAGGACAACGGGCTCGTGGCTCAATGGTTAGGGCGTTTGCTTTTGATCGAAGAGGTCGCGAGCTCGAGGCTCGGGTGGGACGCCATTTGGGTCTGGGTATGACTAGCCGAAACGGCTATTCCAGTCTTCCTTGTCTTTGCCGGTAATACTATCAGCCTACACTCAAGTTCACGGAGGCTGAGATTTACGTGATAGATGACATTCACGAGAGGTGTGAGTTGTTTGAATCCTAATGTACGCCCCCCCCCAAGTCTATTTATAAGTGCAATGACCACCACAAAACATAGCCGGCGCTGAGACGTGGTTAATTGTAAATCATAAAGGAGTGTAATGTTTTGTAAAGTATAGTTTCCGCACATGCGTAATTTAGAAACGGAACAGACAGAAGAATAAGAATTAAATATAAATCCTACTGTATATTTGGCCACCTTTTTTGCATGCGCAAACATAGACTAGAGCCTGGAAGCAAACAACTATGGCGGAAAATATTCCAATATGACGAGGAAAGTGAGTTCTTTTATTCCCAGTCAAATTGTACCATGTATCTTCAAGGAAGTTAAAACATACTTTTCCAAAGTCTCCATTTTCATTTTGACATTACCTTGGAAAAAGGTAACACGCACAGATATTAGTCATCTGAATGCATAGTCAAAGTGTTTGAAACAGGTAACTTATTAAATAATCTTTTTTATTAATCTTAGGAAAGACAGCATCAGACTTATGTTGCGGACTTTGATTTTCCTCGACAATGTGTTTTGGTGTTCGGAGGAATTTCTGAATATGGTCAACATGGCCGTCCTCATAAGAAAAAATATCTAAAACTCATTCTTCCGCTAATACTTCTAATAGATAATTTATCCTAAAGGTTTTAATATGAACATCGAACAGAATCTTCGTTTATGAAATAAAGCTTGAAAACACAGAACATCGTTGAAAGTTCTTCGGAATTTACAAGACAATCTGTAAGTTATTGCAAATAAATAACGGCAATATGTTTAAGATATTTCGACTAAGGGAAAGGTCTTTTGATATAAAGGAAGTGGTAAGCATATTGATTCAACTTGCGAAAATAATGAAATTTAATGCTCTAAGTTATAGCTATTTTGTACGTTTCCGGAACTTCAGGATTTTTAAGGAAATTTTACTTTTCTTAACAAAAAATTAGTACTTCTTACATTTCTTTCAAGTACCAAATGTTCCTGAAGTTTTTCATCATTATTTCTGAGTTTTCGTTCACGCGTTCACGCGGGTATGCGAGGGATTGATCAATCTTTCACAAACTTCGGCATTTTGCACGCAGTTCTCGTCATAATGTATATTCTAGTGTTGACACAAAGTTTGTATATAAGCGTATAGGTTAGTTTCTTAAGGTTTTTGTGTTTGTGGTGCGTTTTCCTCATTTATCTTTAAAGTGGTCACAGTGGTCTATACGGTCCCACCTACTCCTCATTTCTATGAAACATCTACTTATTTCATTTAAGTAGGTTCACTTTCCTTCCGCATTCCTGTCGGTGGCATTTCGTTACGTCCCCTGAAGTGTTCTTTTTATAGTTAGGAGTTTACGGGTTAGAGGTTAGAGTTATGCATAGGGGTAATGGATAGGGCTAGGAATATTGGCAAGGTTAGTGTTTATCCATAGGCATTGAACAGAGATCTAGGCTTACGTGTTAGTAGTTCTGGCTATCAACGTTGTCTGCATCACGTACGTCGTCATTGGTGGCCGGCATAAAGATACATTTTGCAACCTAAGGAGATTCGTCGCCATTGGCTCCGAATGTTATATCTAACCCGCTTCCTACAGCTCCTAATATCATATAGTTCAATTTCCGCGCGCCCTATTTTAGTGAAATATTGGCATATTTAAATGAGCTAACGTCGTACATGGAGCGTTTTTTCCGGAAAATATTCTCAAAAATTTGACGGTGGGTGGAGATTTGAGTGGAGAAACAGTCCAGCGAAAACGGAAAAAAAACATTTTGACATATATCAGAGGAATTTAATTTAGACTAATCGGCTGGCATACTGACAGGTCCGCAAAAGGCAGCAGAGCTTAGCAACGGCGAGAAAGATGGACGCCACAAATGCATCAAATAAGCGAAGGACACTGAAAAGGAAATAAAACCAGACTCACAGCAGTGAAAAAGGGGTAAGTAAACAAGACTAAGAAATGACAGCAGGCATTTCCAAGCAGAAACTGTCCACGAATTTAGCGACGTCTTCGTCTTCAATGGAGGTCTTCCTTATGTACGGTTTTGAGATCATTAGTTGGCGGTATTCCAGCACGTTAGGCCACTGGGAGGCGAAATCCTCGACACGTTCATAAGACCCCTCCTCCAACTTTAAACATCTATTCATCATGAAATCCCAAGAACTGAGGAAGGGGAAGAAAGCCAGATCGGCGAGGCTCACTTTGTCACCTTGGGAAGCAAAGAAAAAGGTATATGACTTTACATGCATTTGTTGATAGAAGGATCGCGCCACTTCAAAACCATAGGATATACCGTGAAATGTGAATACGGGTTTTGGGCTAACAGGCCCCTTGCAGAAAAGGAGATACAGAAACATTACCGACTACGACTTGTTGGTAAAAAAAACTGACTCTGATGCTAGAGGCAAGTAGGCGAGTTTCCAGTAGGCAGCTAATGTAATTGTAATGCCTTACACGCTCTGCGCTCCGCCCTAACACAAAATCAGTTTAGAAATAGAAGGTGCGATTGCTTGAACAAGATGTTTATTTACCTGACCCCTTCCCCCTTTTTGCGCTTATCTCTGATGAAAGGTCCAAGCCAGAATGTGAAGTGGTAGGCAAATCAACATCTTGTTCGAACGAGCGCATCTTCTACGCCTAAACGGCATTTGTGTTAGGGCGAAGCGCAGAGCGTGTGAGACATTATAATTACGCTACCAATAGTGTAAATACTCCTCCCCAATTGTTTGTTAAGAAAAGAAGAGCCAGATACCTGCAGTGGTTTATTTAAGATCTGACTTTTTATGTGAGGCTTTCTTCTCGCTATCTTCGGTGACTGGATAATCATGCGCGGCGTAACTTTGTGACCCAGCTAGTTTGGGTTAATGTAAAAAAACCGCGTTCTGAATAGCCTGAAGGATATGTTAGGCAGTTCAAATAAGTCTGAGGTCGACGTTTGGTGGAATACTTGCTAAGAAAAACTGATTCTCTCTGTCTCTTGGGATGCAGAACAGAGTATTGTAATGGAATTCCCAAAGTAATTTCAAGAAGTGGCCAACACACGAGCTTTACTGGAGGTTTGATCTTTCATGTATTTATTGTACTAAACTATCTTCAGGAATAGGAATGTCATGCTCGGCGTTAATTGGTGGCCCCGATAATTTCATGCCATGAGAACCTTCCTAAAAGCATGTAGCGGTCATTGAAAATTTGGCAGGCCAAATAACCATGCCGTATATGCTAATGTGGACCTTGCTTTATGCAAATCTTTAAGTTTGATTACCTTTTCGCCTTACAGTTAAGCCATAATTCGATACGAATGACTTGTATGGCCGCCCAATTTTAAGAGAAGACTTGGCAAAGTCCAATAGGAGAACTGCGGTAATAGAGGGTTTGTGTGGGTGGGGCTTCTGTGTAGCAAAAAGGACGCGAGATAATTCAAAAAAGGAGATGGAATCATGCAAATGCCAAACATTGTTTAAGTGGACAAACAGTGTTGATCGTAAGAGCAGGGAGAAGCAGAAAAATAGCGCTAGATGAGGAAAAGGAAGTGGTTAACGCTTATTTGTCAATTACATCCAGGAAAATGAACCCATAAAATTACAACCAATCAGAACACGCTAAAATCGTCTGCCTGGTAGCACAAATTATGATAAGCATGCAAACTGGTAAGATTTTTTACAGCAAAGAACAGAATGGTTGCGATTCACGTGTTCCGGAAGACGGAAACTGCGTTATGGAGAATACTGCGTTATTTTTGAGAATAAACAGTTGTTAGTTCTGTGTTCTTCTCCTGTAACACTCCGGATAACAGAATGCCAAACATGCACAAGATTGCTTAATCAGCGCTAGCTCAGCTAATCCAAAGAACAATTACCTCGCCAGAGGAGGAATCACACAACAGGTCTGATAACAAAAAGCGGGCGGATGTGCATTTAAGGGCCACGTTTGAAAGCACAAGATAGCACTGTGTACGCGTTCTGTGTTTCCAACTAGCCGCCTGGCCCTTATTTCTGAAGTGTCCGTAAAGCTGTGCGCCTCGAGCATTGGCCTCTGCATAAGGGCCGTCATAATCCGGTACGCCAATTGCTCGATCCCCTTTCTCAAGGAAAAATAAACGCGTAGGTACATTAAAGGCTCAATAAATGGAGGAAGAGCAACTG